ATTAGAGATGAAAACACGTTGGCCCAGTGGGGTTTGAATAACGTGCCTACAGGAACACAGCATTTCCACACAGTTTATTTTCAGACAAGTTATAAACTATTAATATAGCTTCATGGTGGTTTTTCCCACAGAAAGTACAAAGAGCACCTGAATCAGTAATTTTTCTTGTACTCGTTTTGCAGTTTGATGGGCACTGTTAACTGTACCTATTAACAATTTTGTCTAAAATATACATGTCTAGTATATATACAAACCAACTGTAATATACCTTCTTATAGAATCATAGAACTAAACAAAGGGATTGAATTGCAACATACTTGGAGTTACTTCCTTTAGTGATTCATGCTTATTTCTGGAGAGACAACATTAGGCTGTTTTTGCACTTCTAGAAGCTCATCTCATAAAGATTTGTCCATTTAAACCCACATTTTGACTCATTCTTATAAAGGAAAGCATTTGCAAACAGGATATAAATAAGCCATTGTTCTCCCTTATTGTATTTCAGATTCAGTGTGGGCACTAGAAACTTTTACAAAGGAGTCTGGATGATTTCTATTCCTAAGACAGGTTGTTCCCTGCTGCCTGCCTGGCAGCAGCTGGTGTCTAACAGAGCAGCACACAAGCCTCCAGCTCACACGACATACTAACCCACTTTCTGGGCATGAGGGTCATTCACTGCTCCAGCCTGCTCAGTGAAGTTTAAATTGTTAAAGCTGCAGAGTTTGATCACAAAGTTTGAGTCTTCGGGGTTTCAATTTAGATTGACAATTAAGCTTTTAAAACGAGAGGCTACATACAACACAGGAGGCCCTTGGCTTAGCACATGGATACAAATGCAACACTAGATTGAGCCTGAACATCCTTCAGCTTGGAAATGATGGTGCCCGTGTGAAATTCCAGCCGAAGTCCAGCACCGTGGCCTCCACTGGGATCTTGCAGGAGTTCAGGACAGCAAACATACAACCAAGAGTATCCTTTGGTTATGTGGATTTGTCAGAATCACTGGCGTGGTGACAGTGAAGCAGAGCTTGCGTTAAAATGTGTAAGTCCTGCTATGAAATTCAGCTATGCCAAAGTGATAAAAAAAGCTGGCAGTGATTGCTTTTTGAGAAGTCTCTGTACGAACTGGCTTTGAACACTACAATACTGTATGGCTTCTGACTTGATCTGACAATAAACATCCTTGACTTTATCTCCTTAGATTTTTTTTCCAACTCTCTCATCTCATTTTTGGAGTACTTCTGTTAAAAACTGGTTAAGAAAAGGTCAATAACCAAGACTTTTCACACATTTTTTGTAAAGCTTTCAAGTGCATGGCATACTGATTCTGAAGCAACACATGTTCATTCTTTGGTTTCAGGGAAATTTTGATTTCCTGAAAGCTTTATTATTCTAATTAACTCGTGGTTTTACTCAAATTGTTTTTCTTGATTACTACTTCAAAGCCCAGTGATAAAAAAATTTGAATATCACACTTGATCAAAGTACAAAAGGAGTATATGTTACGAAAGCTATGTGAAATATTATGCAAAGTATTCCGGTAATCACCATAAACATGAGAAATGAGTAGAATATATCTTTCTGTAAATCTGGTTCCAGGAGAGACAACCACAGGGGGAAGGCTAAGCTTGGCTTTGAGTGGCTGGATGACGTGGGCAGCAATGGCTTGGATAAGCAGGAGGTGTATAAAGTATCCTGGCCTGTATCAAGGCCAAGCTGGATGGGGCTCTGAGTGACGTGGTCTAGTGGAAGGTGTCCCTGTCCCTGGCAGGGGGTTGGAACAAGGTGACCTTTAAGGTCCTTTCCAACCCAAACCATCCTGTGATTCTATGATCCAGTGCAGCAGTTTGCTTTCACCTTTGCATCTTGTGCGTGAGAGGGAGGATTTGGAGACACAAGCAGCAGCTCTGTGCCAGGCACCTGGAAGGGGAGTAGAAGACAGAACCTCCTGTGTGTGCCCATGTTTGTGCCTTTTTCCTTCCAGCACTGTCAAATCCACAACTGATCTTTCTTTTATCAATATACACCTGAAAGCATTTGAGCAATAATGAGTAGAGCTATAAAATGCAAAGGATCCTTCTATGCTATTCTATACTTGTCCACTTAGGTGTAAAATATGCCTCTGCTAGACTAGATCAAAACAGGAAACTCTTCTATACAGAGATTAGCCTATATGAATCTTTCTAAAGTACATCTGAACCTGCTCTTGCACAGCAGCCCAAAGGTTATTGGCAATGCACCAAAGAAACCCATGACTGGCGGATTTAGATACTAGCTGCAAATCTGCATTAATCTCTGTTTACAATCTATCCTCTATTACCATCTGCAGAGTGTAACTCCTAAGTTAAAGATGTTTTTTGTAGCAGTATTGACTAAAAAAAAAATCAGTCTAAAACCATATACTAGGAACAAAATGCTTGAAAAAAAACCCCTGGAATTTAATCTCCTATTTCCTGTAAGCTCTGAATAAAGCTGTTGAGAACCACATAGGTAAGAGTGATTTTGGTAGATTTTCTAAATTATATTGATTTTAAATGTGCAGTGTATTTTGTCTCTCTTTCTGAGGAAATCGTGTACTTTGAAGATGTCACAGCCACTGTATGATAAATATTCTTTCCATTAGCCCTTCAACATACTAATTTTACATTTTTTTCAGATGGGTTTGAAGAAACTGTATTTTGACATCACACAAATGCTTAGTCACATTTTGCCAGCTTTGGTTTTATGTAGGGCAGATGTAAACTACCTCGGAAATGCTGCTCATGTTTAGCATTATCTCTTGATAAAAAGATGATATAAAGGCTTGTTGTTGGTTAATAATTGCCACATACCAAGGCCAGGAAATCCGTGGCTGCAAGTGTTTTGTAGCAATTGGTAATAAAAATTCCATTGTTCAGACATAACCAGAGTAATAAAGCAGCACTGACTAGTCACGAGCTGTTGTGCAGTGAGTCTGCATAGATAAAATCTGCAAGTTTTTTAAAAATTACACTTTTGGTGGTAAATTAAAAGATATAGTTTTGGCATCTGCAGTTTGGACACGATGCAGCGCTCAGCCCTCTCTCCCTGGTGGGCTGCTTTGGGGAAGCAGGCAGTGAGGATACACACAGCAAGCAGGGAAAGCCTTGCTGTTCAGAATTTTTGGCCAACAGATAGCTAAAAATCAGTAAGAGCTGCTTGTCCCCCATCTTCTTTTGAGGTGTCAGCTGGGGGCTGAGCAGCCTGGGATGGTTGAGGCTGCCCTTGAGGGGGGCAGGAATGAAAGGGCACTGAGAGGATGCTGCTCCTGCATCAGTTCTGAGCCTCCTGTCTGAAAGGACAGAGCAGGGCCCACAGAGCTGCTTCCCAGAGGCCTTTCTTGTCCTCAGCACCAGAAGAACATGGACCTGTTAGAGCAGGCCCAGAGAAGAGCATGCAGATGATCCAAGGGCTGAAGCACCTTTGCTCTGGAGACCAGCTAAGAGAGCTGTGGGTGTTCAGCCTGGAGAAGAGAAGGCTCCGGGGAGACCTTGGAGCCCCTTCCAGTACATAAATGGGATTTATAAAAAGGAGGGAGAGGGACTTTTTATATGGGTAGATAGTGACAGGACAATGGTTTCAAATTAAAAGAGGGTAGGTTTAGATTAGATAGTAAGAAGAGATTCTTTACTCAGAGGGTGTTGAGGCCCTGGCACAGGTTGCCCAGAGAAGCTGTGGCTGTCCCATCCCTGGAAGTGTCCAAGGCCAGGTTGGACGAGGCCCTGAGCAATTTGGTCTAGTGAGTGGCATCCCTGCCCACGGCAGAGGGGTTGGAACTGGATGACCTTTAAGGTCCCTTCCAACCTAAACCAGTCTATGATTCTATGCCTAGCTCCCGTGGGAGGAGCAGGGGATGGCTGTGCCTGGAGGGAATGGCCTGGAAGAGGCTCATGGGCTGTTTCCAAAGGCCAGGGCTGCCCCAGCTCAAGGATGACAAGGGCTTACAGGCACTTCCTGTCAGGAAATGATGGAAAATACATGAGGCAGGAAATGAGCAGGAGATGAATGTGAGCCAGCAGTGTGTCCAGGTGGCCAAGAAGGCAAGTGGCACCTTTGGCTTGTATCAGCAATAGCGTGGCCAGCAGGACTTGGGGCAGGGATTGTCCCTCTGTACTTGGCACTGGTGAAGACACACCTCAAATACTGTGTCCAGTTCTGGGTCCCTCAGTTCGGGAAGAACATTGAGGTGCTGGAGCATATCCAGAGAAAGGCAGTGGAGCTGGGGAAGTGTCTGGAGCACAAGTTTGATGAGGAGCAGCTGAGGGAGCTGGGGGGGCTCAGCCTGGAGAAAATGAGGCTCGGGGGGGCCCTTTTGGTTTTGCACTTCCTTGCCGGGGGGGGGGGGGCCGGGGGGGATCAGCCTCTTTTCCCAGGCAACCAGTGACAAGAGGAGAGAGTGATAAGCTACAGAAGGGGAGATTTAGGTTGGACATTAGGAAGAATTTCTTCTCAGAGGAAGGTGACCAGACATTGGAATGGAGCATTAGACCTTGGAACTCCACGCAGGGAGGTGGTGGAGTCCTGTTTCTGGAGGTGTGTAAACAGTGGACGTGGCACTCGGTGCCATGGTCTAGTTGGCAAGGCTGATGGTCAGTCATAGGTTGGACTCGACCACCTCAGAGGTCCTTCCCACCCTAATCGATCCGGTGACTCCGAGGCCTTCTGAGGCGGGGGGAGCAGCATCCCGTGCCGATCCGGAGGGGAGGCACGGATCGGGCAGAGGAAGGACTCGTCCCTGAGTGCCGGGGGGGGGGTCACCGCCAGCCCCGCATCCCTCACACGCCCCCCCCGCCCCATTTTCTCCGCGGGCCGAGCCCGGCCCGGCGCGAAATGGCGCCTCTGTCACGTGCCGCCACCTCGGGGCCCTCCCGGCGCCTGCGCTCGCCCGGCGGGGCCGCGGCTCCTCCCTCGGGCCGCGGCGAGTGCGGGGCGGCAGCGGCGGCGGAGCCTCAGCGCGGTCCTGCCCCTGCTCTGCCCCTGCTCTGCGCTGGGCACGGCCTGACTCTGCGAGGGAGCCGCGCCGAGGCGGCGGTGAGCGGGGGGACCCCGGGGGGAGTGGGGGGAGCGGCCACGGGGGCGGCCTGGGCTGCGGGACCGGCGGGCAGACAGGCGGACACTCAGAGGGGCAGACAGACGGACACGCACAGGGACAGCCAGCCAGCCGCCCTCCGCGCCCGGAGTCTCCAATCCTCCCCGCCCCGAGCTCCAAACCTCGGGAGGGGCTCGGCGCGTTGTGCCCCCCCCCCCTCCGGAGCTGGGGGAGCACCCGGGAGTGATTTTATAGTGTCAAGAGCTCTTAAACGACTCGTTAAAGTCGGGTAGAAACGTTTCTAGAGAAGCTGGGAGAGTAACGATTTTTTAAAAATTTATTTATTTATTTATATTCCCGGTGTGTGGGAGAACCGTCGAGAGAGCTTTTCCGCGCGGAGCAGCTTCAGGTGCGGCCCCGGGTAGGACCGAGGGGTCCCGGGTGTCGGGCACGGTCTAAAGGCTGTTTCCTTCTAAAAATAGTGCCTTGGTAGAGCACCAGTATCTAAATTTCATCGCTGAAAGCGCAGTGCGTTTGTGTAAAGTTAAAACTAGCGCAGCTGAGCGTGGTTTATTTTTAGGTCTGTTGAGGATGTGTCATAAACATGCTAAAAATGCGATAAATCCCTTGAGAGGGAGGCTCAGAGGCGCAGTTTTGGGAAAAACGAGGACTGGTTAAAATAAAATAATAATCCACTTCGGAAGCAAAAATGCCGCCCATTAGACGTCTGCTGTGTCCTAGATGAAGAAAAAGCTTAATCTTGGAGCTCATCGTTCTGCAGGAGGAGATCTTCTGAGATTTAAGCTTAAAATGTGTTTTTTACCTAATTTTTGAGACGTGCTCAGCGATTGGATCTGAGGTGGTAGCAGCTTTCCGGGGCTGCCTGCCTTGTGTGCAGTGTCTGCTGCTCCTGTTCCCCAGAGAGGCTGAATTCCGAATTCCTTAACGTGGCCTCAGTGCTCTCCCTGGACTGGGATTTCTTAAAGACACTGCGACTAATGGGACCGGTATTTCAGCTGTTAAAGGCACGTCCCTAAACATTCATTTCCAAGTGTTAGAAAGTTAAAGCTTAATTACCAAGATGCCTGCTTTATCCCAAAGGATTTCCAAGCTTGGTTGTTTGAAAGGGCTTTTATATCTCAGGAATTGCGTTTGGTTTTGGTTGTGTTACTTCAGTGTTTTTTTTTTTATTATTATTATCTTGAAACCTGGTTTTGTGGTGTTTTATTAATTCCTGCTGACTCCTACTGTTGAGAAGTGAAAGGGAAATCTAGAAGTCGGAGAAAACAGTTATTTCTTTGGGGCTTGAATCTCTCATATGTTGAGTTATAGTAGTAAAACCTCTCTCTTTTTTTTTTTTTTGGAACTGATACTGTAACGTGGGAAGCAGTGAACAGCTGCTTGCTTAACAGAGCTACTGCTGACCAATTCTCGCATCCACCACCGACCCTCCCCCTGCCATGGGAGAGGTTTTTAATGGCTTAATTTTAGCAGAAGTTTATGGTTCTGTTACCAGGAAAAGTTGCAGAGTTATTTAACCTGATTTTTCTCTGAATCCCTGTTGTTGTTTGTGGATTTGATGTAGTTTGAGTAGGATAATGTGCAGCTGTGCAAAGTACCTGGTCACAGGACGTTTAGGTCAAAGAGCTTGTAGAGGAAAAGAGCTGGATGGGTAAAATTTTTGATACTTTGCTTTACACTAATGACGATATGAATAGATTTGATGAACCTCATCAGTCATTGAAGTGTTTCATTTCAGTGACTGTGTTGCTGCTGTTTATCTTCGATAACTACCTTAGATAACAGTTCACTGTCATTTGCATAACAAGCTTGTATTTGATTGCATCTCTGATAACTAGGGCTTTTTTATTATAAAAATTACTGCTTACCTAAATTAACATGATTTAAGGTGCTTTGGATGGTTCTTGTGGCCTAGGACACTCAGATGTACATTAGGTATACACCTGATTATATATATATATTTTTTTTTTTTTTTGCTAACAAGAATTTTTCAGTAACTTTTTTTCCAATGTAGTATCTAAAATTTGCTACCTTTTATCTGCAATGTAAAAGTACGAACTTCCTTCTTTACTGAGGGTCTTTAGGACAGGTCTCTGCAAGAGAAGCTCCCTTCCTCTTGGGGTTAGTCTGTGGTTATTCAGCTGTTACAGGTAACCAGTCCAACATTTGTGACATTCAGAAGCCTGCTGAGCATTGTAGGCAGTCTTTTTTGACTATCTATATTTGATACATTTATTACTAAAAATAACTATTACTGTCCTTTTCTTAATTTTCAGGTGTGACTTTACTGTTAATAATTACTTTTGCTTGCAGCCACACTGGGAAGTGTTGGGAAGAATACTGAGTTTAGGACAGGTGGAAGGGTTCCCCCACGCCTGTGATAGGCATGTAAAGTTCATCCCAACAAAGATTTCAGTTATTTGATATGTTTTTATAAAAAAAATAGTGATACGTTTGAGGGTAAAGCTTGGAGTGATTGCTTATGCTGGAAGACAGCGAGACACAAACTTATTTGTAATGTAGTATTAAAATAGTGCAGAGGGACGTGGGGGATTTTAACGTGAAGCCCTTGCTGCGGTGCCTTGTGATCCTCCTTCCCAGATGGTTCAGGCTGTTCTGGGAGCTCGTAAACAGGGAGGAGGCTGCGGTGGGTGGGTTGTTGTTGCAGCTCCTGCCATGTGACTGCAGCCAGAGCCGGGGCAGGTGCTGAGCGAAGGCTGCGGCACGTTTGGTGGCAGCAGCCTGTACCATGTGTGCTCGTCATCTCTCACAGTTCCCCTGGCCAAGGAGGAAAAACATTTATTGGTTTGTTGTTGTGTTTTTTCTTTTTCTTTTTTTAATCTATGTTTTTTATTACTCCTAGATTACATTAGTAGTTACAGTGTCGTTTTCCAAACTTCACCACTAGTGGTGATGAAAATGCAAATACTGAATAACTTACTGTTTGCCTTGTGCTGTTGACCAGTACAATGTAAATGCAGTTGCAACACTTGTTTCCCATCAGTTTTGTGTTTAATCTGATCTCACAGTTTTCTCAGTGCCAGTATTTGCAGTGTGGAATGAGCTGCCTTGTGTTAAGATGCTCCTTTACTAAAGCAAGAAAATGTATAAATTGATGCCAACATACTTTCCTATAATTTTTGCACTGTGTGTAGTATGAGGATTATTTTTTTCAAAACTAATAAAGGTTTTTGTGGCATTCTACCTGGACAGGAGGGGAAAGCAGACAGATGCATGTGAGTGCCCCATGGCTGCAGCTGCCTCAGTTCATTCACTTACTGCCAAGTGTAACTTGGAAGCATTCTTTAGGTAAGGAAGTTGCTTCAAAATACGTGGTTTATAAACTTAATACACTTCTGTGTTGGATCTTTAAATTGCATCTCAGTGTTTTGTACTTTCAATCATAAGATTATTTATGTATTCTGTTTATATGTGTCCTGAACCTACCTTCTATTTGTTAGACACTGACAGTACGTGTGAAAATGAGTTCTGTGTCCTGCACAGGCTCTGCTCCCTTCCCAGGAGAGAGAACACGTGGCACTTGTAGACTGTGCAGTGCAAGGCCACCCTAAGTGACAGATTTCTTCAGGTGCCACCCACGAACAGAGTTGCTAATGAATATCAGCTTTCTCATGCTAGACAAGCATGACTGTTCAGCTCTTAAATTGCCTGGTGTGTGAGCTGAGCAGCAGCATTCCTTGCACAGGTCCCAGGGCTTGAGTTGGGTTTTGCAGAGGAGGTGGGATCTGCTTCTCCCGTGTTCATAAATAACACATGTACTCCACCAGTGTTAAACTTTACAGCTATAAAGCTGATATTAACTGAGTAGTTTTCCATAAGGTGATGATATGATCTGGGAGAATCTTAAAGCCTCGTGTCCCATCTTTTAAAGAAAAATAAAGAAGTTCAGCATTGGAAGGTTTCTAAAGATGTTATTACTGGTTGAACACAATACTTGGTAAACATCTTGCATTTCTAAATCTGCTTTTAAAATCTGTCATGATTTAGTGAGGTGTGTGTTGCTGTTCCTGTAGCTTTCCCTTAAAACATCTTCAAATAATGTAAAATGGGGAACTGAATGTGGAGGTTTTGGGTGTATTTTTTTATAGCACACCAAGATGCTCTTTCATAGTAAGATACAGGGTAGTTTTTCCATATTAATACATGGGAGGATATTCATATATATGAATCTTTTTTCCAGAAACAGTTTAACTGGCCAAAGTAGTTTTTTCACTTTTAAGATTATCATGATGCAGTAAACATACTTTTGGAGTAAGACTGAGTAAAGTTGAAAGCCAAGAGTCTTTACATTTCAAAGTATTAGAACTCATATCTTTAACTCTTCTGATTCATGTGGTTTTGGTATACAGCAAGCTGAAAAAATAAACACTTCTTACCCAGGTTTGTAATTTCTTTAGGTAATATTCAAGAATCCAGAGGTGTATCTGTGTTGCATAAGAGTGCTCATGTGACTAAAATTGTAGTTCAGAACTAGATTTTTGCCAATAATGACACCTTCCCATTAGTTAAATGATATTTTTCAGACAGTGTTTGGTAAAACTAATCTGCTTGGCACATATTGTTGTTCTGCTTCCACATCTGCCCTGCAGAGCAGTGTGTCCTACTCATCTCTGTTCCAGAATTGATTTTAGTCCTTCCTGGGGGTTTCCCAGACACTGCAGAACAGTTTTAATTTGGTTGATGGCTTCACAGGTCGGTTCATCTTCTGGAACCCGTCCCTGCCTTCTGGTTAAGGACTCCATGCACACACACAGGATGACTCAACAGTGGGATGGATGTTCAGATACCAGAAAGGTGCTGGTAACTTGACAGGAACCTCCACATTCTTTGGGGTATGTGTGCCTGTAAACCTCTCAGTGAATAGTGCCTGGATTGTATCACGTGGAACTATAATTCAGTGAACTTCAGTTGTGTTTTCAAATATATACTGCTTATAGTTTCAGTATTCAGAAGGAAATAAGCATTCATATTTCACAGTAAATACTGGGGCTTCGTGTTTGGTAAAAAACTTTGATGCATAACCAACGGAACCTTTTTCTGGCTTTGCATCCCACAGCAAGTAAAATGAACTCATTTTGGTAGATTTAAAGGAGTGCAGTATAAAATATTAAAAATTCTGGACATAACCAGTTGCTAAAGGATGTAGCAACAAGAACAAGTTCTGGCCATGTTCCATCAGGTCTTCATCCATCTGGAGTGGATGTGCTGCTTGTGGGCTGTAGCCTGGCCTGTGGTTTAGGGGAATTCCCTTTCTGGTTGTTCTCAGATGCCAGAACTTCTTTGTGGGAGCCAAATCAGCACCCAAGTTATTTTCGAATAAGATAGCAAAAATTTCCATTTTTATCAGAAACTTATCTTTAACCAAGATGTTGCAGATCTGCACGAGAACAGCAGTAGCAAAGAGAAGCTTCTCAGCCAACAGAATTTGTTAAATTTCATTTTTTAATCTGGACTTCAGATTTAGCAAACAGCTAAATTTATAGTTCCTCTGGAGGAGGGAGGAGGAAAAACAAACAACAGGTATTTGACTCAAAAGGTGTTTAACCTTTGCTAAATTTAGCAAGGCTATGAGCAACTGCAAGAGTTGTGCAATGGTTAATTACTACATCCACACTTAATGCTTTGGAATGCCCATTCATTGTGTGACTTAAAGCACTCAAAAGTCATAAAAGATGGTTGTGTGGATGATAATTTGTTGGTCTAGTAGCAAAATGTTTATTCATGCTGAGATTGCATCTTCATTCCATTAGTAACACTGTTAATGTAAGCCACGTGTCTATTCAGGGAAGAAAACCTGTTATTTAATATCATTTAAAGAGTGTTGGTAGCTTAGCTTCATATATTGCTGATGCCAATCATTAATGGAACTCTGAGTAGACTGAGTGAAGATTTGTAACAACTGCTGAAATAAATTTCTTGGTGGTTGAGATAATTTGTCAGGAGGTTAAACAGTAGTGAAGCTGGTCATGTGAACAGCTCTTAATTAATTGGGTAGGTTGTTCTTTCCCACTTCCCTAAGAATGCACATGCTTTCTTTTCATGCAGGTGTGGGTTGGGTGTCAGACACCTCATCAGCCAGACAGGTCAGGTTTTATAAGTTGGGGAAAAGGCCAGGGAAGTTTTTGATAGGATAGTATGTATTTTGGCAGCTGTTTCTGCAATACTGGGGATTGGGAGGGGGTGGATTTTTTTTTTCCCCCATAATGAGGATACTATGGAAAATTTTCAGACCAGAAAAAGCATTCTGTGAGAGTTGCCATGGAAGTTTGTTCAGGAAAAAAATAGATAATGTGCTCTGTTTGTTCTTGAAAAACGCATTGGAAAATCCTTCAGACTGGTTGGGAAGAGAGAAGGTCTGGCTGAACATCTGATTAGTGGGACATTTGAGAAGGGGCCTCAGCCTGCTGTGAAATGAAGTGGCATTTGAAACAAAGATTGTTGCTGAGAATTGAGTGAATCACAGAATTCAGTCCAGAATGTCTTGGGTAGGTTGCACTGCTTCAGCCTGGGAAAGCAGAGCTTTTCCTTAGGCTGCTCTTTCCTGAGCTCTGGCTCGTGTGGCAGTTGGCCCTCAGTGAAGCAGATCCATGCAGTTTGCTGAATTCCAAGGTCACTGTCCTTTCTCCTGCTGAAAACCAGCACGTGAACTTCACTTACTTTGCCCTGCTTTGATAAGTGACCTCTGAAGATTTTTGTTGTTAGTTGTACAAACATTTTTCCCCTGCCTGACATGATTTAAAAGAAAAAAAAAAAAGGCAAAGGGAAGGTGGGCAAAACTTTTCAATCTGGCACTGACATGCCTGTCCCAGGTTTATCTGTTTAAATAGAGTTTATGAATTAGGTTCTGTAGTTGATAAACTTTTTAGGAATCATTAGTAGATTCCATAGTTTGGCTGCTGAGTTTAAATTTAAACTGAAACAGCTTTTTACTGCTAAATTAAATTGCTGTTATACTTCTTTTTCCCTACAAAATGCTTTATGTACTGTGAAGTACTAACACATGAAACTACACCTGGTAAATTAACAAACCCAAGTTCTCCAGATTCAAATCAGGTTGTACAAAATAAAAGGTACTGAGAAAGAAGGTCCTTGGCAACATCTGTGCACTGGATATGGACATATGGACATGCTTCTTTTCAGAGTAACATGCTATATTTAAACTTTATTACCTTGTTATCTCTTCCTGTGTTTCCACTGCCCTGTCTCCCTTCCTCCCCTAATATCCTGTATTTTTCTAGAGCCCTGCTGTGCGTGAGCCCTTCCAGGAAACTGCCGTTTGAACGCATCAGATCGTTACAGCCCCTGAAACTTCCACGATGAAGAGAGCTGGGCAGAGAGTTGTGGTTGGAACTGAAGCTCCTCACACATCACAGACAAGCAAAAAACAGAAAACTAGTTCATATGGCTCAGTGTTTGGTGACTCTGCCCTGTGCACCTCGATGGACTGGGGCAGCCTCCCCCACCACGTGATCCTGCGTGTTTTCCAGTTCCTCACTCTGGTGGATCGAGCCAGGGCGTCTTCTGTTTGCCGAAGGTGGAATGAGGTTTTTCACATCCCAGATCTCTGGAGGAGATTTGAATTTGAACTCAGCCAGCCAGCCACTTCTTACTTAAAGTCTACCCACCCAGACCTCATTCAGCAGATTATCAAGAGGCACGCTGATCACCTGCAGTACGTCAGCTTCAAGGTAAGCCTGGAGCTGCGTCTGCTGTGTCACCTTACTGTGTGCAGGGCATGCAGCTGCTCTGTGCCAGCTGCATTAAGGGTTGGACCTGGGAAGTCTTGCTCTTGCAGCAATTTATTTCCACATGTGCAGGCAGCTTCCTTCAATTTTCCACACTCTCATCTCTACAAAGTGAAGAAAGAGCTGTTGTTGTGCAAGGCAGAGGAGGGAAGGTGAGATGAAACAGAGACATGTCCAAAGTCACTCTTCAGGCTAAGGAATTGAGAACCAGTTCATTATTTAAGATGCAAAGGTTGTCCATGCAGATAAAATGGATTAAATCTAGACTTTGCCAAGTCTTTTTTGGGCTCCAAGGGTTGGCATTTTAAAAAAATACATATCACTGCCTATTGTAGCACCAGTACTGTTACAGGACTGTAATAACAGGAAGTTATTTGAAGAGAAGGCTCAGATTTAAGGTCTCTGTTCATACTAGAAATGCCCAGCAGTCGTACTCAGGAAAATTTTCCTGAACTTTCCTGAACTTGTTCTTATCTTGAAATTTCTGATTAATGCTGCACTTTGTCCCTGTGGTAATTGCAGGCTGGAGCAGCACAGCTGACCAGGTGTGGAACTTGCAATCTTGGGTATCCATGGTGCTGTTTTTTCAGTAATACTGAAGAATGACTTCATTATTTTAAAATTGCTTTTACAGGTTGATAGTAGTACTGAGTCAGCAGAAGCAGCTTGTGACATCCTTTCTCAGCTGGTGAATTGTTCAATCAAGACACTGGGTTTAATCTCTACAGCAAAGCCAAGCTTCATGAATGTCTCTAAGGTAATGTTCTACAAACTGTAACTAGGTACTTTGGGCTCATCACTGTGTCCACTTATCCCTGTTTTATTACAGGGAAACAATAAATCAGAGTGGATGAGTTATTTACTGAGTGTAAAGTTGACTTCTGTCATGTGCAGCAGCATGTTTTTAAACAAAGATCCCCTATGTTCATGTTCAAATAAGCCTTTCTTTGTTGCACAAGAAAAGGAATGACTGAGAAGTGATTATTTTTCTACTTTCTGTGTGTGCAGAATGTGAGGTTGGGCAGCTGAAGTTCTGCCCATCTTTTCATAAGACTTTTTTTCCTTCCTTCCATTTCTCCAAACAGGCTCATTTTGCTTCAGCACTGACAGTAGTTTTTGTAAACTCCAAGTCATTATCATCAATCAAGATAGATGACACACCAGTTGATGATCCTTCCCTGAAGGTTCTTGTTGCTAACAACAGTGACACTCTAAAACTGCTAAAAATGAGCAGCTGTCCTCACGTTTCACCTGCTGGTGAGTAGTGAATATATGTGAAAAACAGAGTTGTAAAGTATCAAAACAATAATGGGAACACACACACAAAATCCCTGATTCATGAATCAACTACTGCTTGGTGGGATAAAGGAGATTAAAGCAGTGTCACTAATGGCTTTGCAAGGTGCTCTGAGTGTGTAGAAATTGCACAAACTAGTGGTGAAGACTGGGAGTGTTTTCAGTTTCTGTAGGGCCCTCGTGTGTCGGATCTGGATCTGAACTCACTGGTTGGTGAAGGGCTCACTGCCTTCGGAATACTCCCTTGCTAGAAAGTTCAGAGGGCTTTTGGGTCCCACTTTCCTTTCTCCAGAAACCTTAATGCTAGGGAAAGGGAATCTGGGACTGGTCTATCTCCTGTATTCTTTTCTGGAGTCCACAAAAGGTGATTTAATCTGTGTACTTTGTATTCCAGCAGATAAAGAGCAGCTATGTTGTTTATGTCTTAATTCTCGAAAGGCTCTGTTTTAACTTAAACAAGGTTGCTGGTGGTGATTTAAGCAGCGTAGATAAAAGTTGAAGGAAGAAGGGAATAGTGTCAACTTCAGCTGCATCTGACCTAATTTCAGTTGCTGCTTCAAAGCTGATAAAATTCTGCATAGGGAAGGGCAAGGAGGAAGATCTGCAGATTCAATATGAGTGTGACTAGTTAGACTTGGATCTTTTACTGATAAATGTTGATGGCCAGAACTCTGTAAAATGCTGTGCATATCTAGAACTTCAGTATTTCAGGGGTTTTGGATATAAGCATGAAAACTCAAGCCAATAGAATCAGTACTTGCTTGAGCTTTACAGTGAACAACTGTGCTTATATTTGCTTTTCATTTTACAGAGTTAATTTTTCTTGTTCCTCAGGCATTCTTTGTGTGGCTGATCAGTGCCACGGACTTAAGGAGCTGGCTTTGAACTACTACATCTTAAGTGATGAGCTTCTGCTGGCTCTGTCGAGCGAGAAGCACGTCGACCTCGAGCACCTTCGCATTGACGTCGTGAGCGAGAACCCCGGGCAGGTGGAATTCCACACCATCAAAAAGCAAAGCTGGGACGCTCTCGTCAAGCACTCCCCCAAAGTGAACATCGTGATGTACTTCTTCCTGTACGAGGACGAGTTCGACGTGTTTTTCCGGGAGGAGACGCCGGTCACACACCTGTACTTCGGGCGCGCCGTCAGCAAAGCGCTGCTGGGCCGCATCGGCATCAACTGCCCGCGGCTCATCGAGCTGGTCGTGTGCGCCAACGGGCTGCAGCCCCTGGACGCTGAGCTCATCCAGATCGCCCAGCGCTGCAAGAACCTCACGGCCATGGGCCTGGGGGAGTGCGAGGTGACCTGCAGGGGCTTCGTGGAGTTTGTGAAGATGTGTGGGGGCAGGCTCACCCAGCTGTCCATCATGGAGGAGGTGCTGATCCCAGACAGCGATTACAGCTTGGATCGCCTGCATTTGGAGGTCTCCAAGCACCTCGGCAGAATGTGGTTTCCTGATATGATGCCAACGTGGTAAATTCTCTCTGTTTGTGGATAAAGGGGTGAAATCAGGGGGTTGCTTTCTATGCAAATAAGGAATTTCAAAAGGAAATGTGAAAACTTACTTCCAGATTTTGAGTTTTTCTACCTTGAACCTCTGGTAGACTAACAGCAAAACACTCTAGAATATTAATTGTATATTGAGATAGAAGATAGATTAAAGTGTACTTAACAGTTCTGTGGTTTACAGGTGCTTCAAACTTCAGTGAGCTTGGGCTTCTCTGAACTTCAGTTTAAATGTTCTGTTCACTTTAAAGTGGTTTTGGGTTTTTTTTTCATGTCTTTGTTTAATCTTTCTGATGTAGTCAGAAGAGGAATAGGGTAACTTTTTTCCTTTAGGAAATCAATCTTTATGGAAAGCTGTATACAACTTGGAGTACAGTATTATTTGTCATGATGTTTTATATAGCTTTTTTTATAAATATTCATGTTTTAATTGTAAAAGCTTGTACATTAAAATACACTAGCCCAGGTTAATCAGAGTTAATCTAGTTTAAACTCACGGTATTATATTAAAATTTTAATAAGCTGAAACTGTAAAGTTTTTTTGTAAGCATTAAATTGCACTTTAAATAATTCTGTCACAGTAGTGAAGCTGTTGAGACTGCATTGTACAGTATGTTGGTTTTGTCCTATGCATTAAAAGGGTGAGAAAGAGACTTTGTTAAAATTAATGAATGTAAAAGTTTGTAGCTGGATTGACTGCTCGAGTGAGTAATAAGGCACTTTGGAAACTGTTGGGATATAAGGAATAGCTTTGGATTTGGTCTTTCAGACTGTCTGAAATCCTGTTCCATGCTTTCATAATTGAGAGATAAGAAGGATTTCATAAATGTGGCTGGTGAGAAGGAAGGAACAAATGGAATAGAGTTGTCTTTGATCCCTCTCTGTGTGGAATCCAGGATTTAGAGCACTTAAATTACTTGTCACTGACAGACCAGGATGGCCTGTAGTGATCTTGGCTGTGCTGTAAGCCCTGATTTCTAGAGAAAGGATTGCTGGAGGTGATCCTGAAATATTTAATTCAGGACTGTTTAATACTTGTTGCTACTAATTGTTTTTTAAGAAAGAAGATTTTAATATATTTATTTTCTTAAAAGGGGAGAGGCACGGTGAGTTGATGTAAATTAGAGTCTGTATTTTTGTGTTGACATTTTGCTCACTGTAAACTAAAACTCATTGTATATAAATTTTGCTGTAATCACTTTCACGCTGTACTTGTTCTGTGTTTCTGTTGATAATGAGAATTCTCCGTTAATTAGCTGGTGGTGTTTGTCACTGTCATGGTTTAACCCTGGCTGGCAGCTCAGCCCCACGCACCCAGTGGGGTGGGGGAAAGGGTAAAAGTGAGAACTTGTGGGTGGATGTGAAGACAGTTTAATAGGTAATGCAAGAGCCACACATGCAAACAACCCCAAAAAAGGGAATTAATTAACCACATCCCATGGGCAGGCAGGTGCTCAGCCATCTCCAGTTCCCAGCTGGAAGCCAAAGGATTGAAGGTAACACACAATACCTGAATCAGTTATTTTCTTTTAAAAGACTGAACTATTTCCAAACAGTATTTGGTTTAAGATATATTGATTTGCTTTAAATGGAAATGTAACAAAGTGATTTAATCCATGCACTGCTTAATTAGACTCTTATCCATCTGATGCACTGTGTCCTGTTAGGATTCTGTCCTGGTAGAAACCATAAATGTGACAAACCTTAGAGAGGCCAGAGGAATGTTTAACTCTTCGATTATCCCAAATTAGTCATTGTCATGTTCGTGCCTGAAACCTGAGGATTTCTGACATGTAAACTGTAAAATGGAATGTGGACAAATCTTGTGGGTGGCTGGGGAGTTGTGGAGTCCTTTGTGTCTCTCTAGCCATCAGAACAGTGTCAGTGAATAACCAAACACTAGTGACTGTAAATAGAGAGTTCAGGGGGAAGCTGCTCAGATGCTGCTTTGAGTATTGTCCCTTTTCAGTCCCTCTCACTGAAGCAGCTTTTCTGAGAAACCATGAAACAGAACTGCTAAGGCTGGAAGAGACCTTTAAGCTCACCAGCCGTGGAATGTTTGCTTGGTCCAGCTCCAGACTTCCAGAGAAACGGGCCTGCATTTATCAGTAGTGTGATTTTTGATGCACTGATTTTTTTGGAGCATTTGCTCTGCTGGCTGATCTTAAGTGAGGCTGGCTGGTACTTGAGGGGGAAGCTGGCAGTCATGCACCTTCTCTGCCACATGAGGGGGTAGCTAGTTTGCATTTTAGCTGATTTTTCAGGCTCTCTGAGAAAGCTTATAACTAATCGTTGCTAATTCCCCAATTCCCCCCAACAAAAACTCAAATCTTTTTCCCTTGTGTGAGCCTCCACTAGAGACACTGCTTGTGTAACACTCGGAGTAGTGAATCAGTAATAGCATAGACTTTTTCATGAGGAGAAAAAACAACTGTTGGATGCTGAGATGAATTTATTTGGAATTTGCTGCATTTCCATTTCACTCTCTTCGCCCTTTCCCCCTTTCGAGATTGCTTGTAGGATCCGAGTGATCGCAGTTCTCAATGTGGATGTGAGAGGTGATGCCAGGAAATACTCTTTGCATTGGCAACATTTTCCCAAGGACTTGTCCCTTGGAAATTGCACCGTTGTATCTTATGGGATGGATACAGAGTAGTTTTACACAGAACCCTGGTGAAAGCAAGGAGGGAAAAGGTCAGGTGACTGATGAAGCGTTTGTTTTTCTATACTAACTCTGTTTCAGAAATATTAACAATTTCTGTCTTATCCTTTCCACTGAGATAGCAATAGTGAAAATACCAAAATAGCAAAGGCATTATGCTCATAAAAAATAAGTAGTGGTTGAAGTCATTGACTTGGTGGAAGAGGGAAGATGGAAGGCAGGGAAAAGGTGGGAATTGCTGCTTTAGTAAAGGGAAGAGCTCAAAGACACTCTAGCGTTGTAGCAGGAGCAAAAAGTTCTGCGAGTAGGTGGATAGAAGAAGACATTTACCTTGCTGAAGTGCTTGGTAGCTGCAAGGTAACACATCCTGTGTGACCTCAAAGACATTAAATGAAGAGTAGCCGTTTACCTGAGCCTCGGATTTGGACTCCATCGTCGATGGCGTTTCCGTTGTGGAAGAATTTGACCGGCCCGGAGAGCTGCCCGGAGAAGGGAGCGTACACGGTGGCTCCGTCAGCGCAGATCACATCCACTGCCCTGTGCTTCCCTTTGCCGTTGCGTCTGGAAACAGGGATGGAATTAGAGACATCTCTTGTTATAGAGGGAGATCAGGCAGCATGGGGTGATCCCTGGAAATGGGTTGTTAGGAGGGAAATAGTGTCAGACTGGCTGAAGGATCCATAAAGGATTTCTGGTGGTTTAATGGGGTGGGTGACCTGTTAGGGCTGGAGAAAAAGCCTTTCTTCCAAGTCTTAAATAGAACTATAGAGTCACACAAAGTTTGGCTGTGTGAAGGACATCAAGTCAGGACTCTTCCCAACACCAGGTCAGGCACAGCTTAGTCAGAGCGATAAAAACCTCCAAGCAGAGAAGTGTTATCAACAATGTGTGCGGCCTGAAAGTTTGCTCATGTCCAACCCAAACCTTCAAAGCTGTGATTCTTAAGTGACTTAAACAGCGTTCAACTCTTATTTCAGTGGAGGAACAACAAAACCCCACGTGTTCCCATGGCATGGTACCTCGGAGCTCCGTAGTATCCGCAGCCATACTTATCACAGCCCCTTATCTCGTTGGTGGGATTCCCAGCACACACCGTGGCCCAGCGGCTGTCTTGTTGTGGCAGTGGTGGGACATCTTTGAAACACAGAAACACAGCCCATCAAAGTTACCTTTCTGATTGTTTTAAGCCTGGTGTGTTTGTGACTGCAGTGTTTTAATGCAGTTGGGTAAGAACACGTTGGAATTACATCCCATGTGTGCGGTCGGATTTCCCTCCACAGGATTTGTCATCTTTACAGGACATGTAAGTAGAATGTACAGCTAAGCTGGATAATAATATCTCAGACATGCTTTAGAGACAAAAATTCAAAGAGAGAATCACAGGTCCTTGAGTGCAACTCTACTCCTATTCTGGGCTGCTTTTTTCGTTGTTTGGGGTTTTTTTACCAGGTGTAAGCAGGTGGGTAGGATCGGAGTGGTCGCAGTTCTCGACGTGGATGTGAGAAATAATGCCAGGAAATACTTTCTGCATGGGCAGCATTCTCCCAAGCTGTTGCCCCCTGCGGATTTGGCCGTGGTACCGGATGGGGTGAATGCAGACGAGCTTCACGCAGTAACCTGGAGGAGACGGGAGAGGAAGCGAGGTCAGGAACCATCAGCTGCCTCTGCTCCTTGGGAAAGCCAGAAGCATTCCCTGCCAGCCTCTTACTGGAGACTGTAAGGATGAAGCAGAAATGTCGTCAAGGTACCAACAATCGTGAAATCAAAATTACTGGATTTGCTGTGGAAAAGAGGAAAAAAGGGAGCTGGAAAACAGGGACAGGAAAACATCCTCTCAGCAAAGCTGAGGGTGTACTTCCGATGCTTTATTTTTACTGTTTCCTTTTTTTATTGTTATTTGGGGTTGTTGTTTTCCTGTTACATGTTTTCCAACTCCTTTCTTCCCTCCTCTCTGGGAAAAGCATAGGAAAGGACTATATCCTGCTGATGTGCTGCCTTCCAAAATTTCAGCGTGCTAGAGAGGGTGTGACACTAATCAGCACTGTGCTTGAACTGAAGAAACCTTACTCAAGGAAATGAAGTGATTACTTTGATTACTTGTGTGCACGCCTCACAGCATACCTGGTGTTCATTACTTGCCTGATCCGCTGATTTGGACTCCATCATCGATGGCATTCCCATTATGGAAGAACCGGATGGGTCCGGAGAGCTGCCCGCTGAACGGAGCGTACACGGTGGCTCCATCCCGGCAGATGACATCCACCCCCCCGTGCTTTCCTTTGCCACTGTCCCTGGAAGCATAAATCCATCCTTAGAGTCATCTGTCAGGGTTAATGTTATGTATCAATATCAGATACACATCTGTCAGGGTTAATGCTATGTATCAATATCAGATACACATCTGTCAGGGTTAATGCTATGTATAATATCAGATACACATCTGTCAGGGTTAGTGTTATGTATCCTTATCAGATAACTGAAGCTTGTCTAACAAAATTTTTGTACCTGCAATCAAATTAGAAAACAGCAGCTTTGGTCCATTTTTTTTTTTAATTGCAAAATGTTCACGTTCCTCTGGCCTTCTTTAAATATCAAATTTAAGCTTATTTTTAATTTTCCCAAGTTCATGGGGTATTTCAAGGTTTTATAGTGAAGTAGCCTTGTTCTACCCCAAAATACATCTGTGCCCATGTGAAATGGAATCTTATGTTTGGCATTTTCTCATTTAGAAGTTTGGAAGTGACGTGATAAGGATGGAAACTTCTTACAGAGCCTGGGGAGAGGAGACAGCAGGAAAATGCAGGGAAAGCAGGAGACTTATAAATACTTTTAAAAGCATTTTTCAGGGACATATAACTTGCTGTGTTGTCAGGTCTCTCTTTAATGACAACAGTGCTGACAGACTTTTAGTCTGTGTGAATGAAACTACTGGGCTGCTGCTGAATGTTAGTTAAATATCTTGTTAAATAACAAGAATGACACAAATCCTTGAAATACTTTCCTTTCCTTTGGCTGTGTGTCATGTAATGGTCTCCCTGCTTCACCCCTGCATCGGTTGCCAGCAGTGGTACCACTGCACTTCTGGGAGATTGCTGAGGAATATCCCGAAAATGGGTAAGTGGTCCTGCCAACAACAGTCTTCCCTCATTCTGAATGTCATCTCTATTTAACTGTACTCTCTCCTGCCTGAAAATTTCCTTTAGGAAAGCAGCAGTGAACCCCAGAGTCCCAGTGCCCACCGTGTTACCTGTCAGCGCCGAAATTCCCGCAGCCGTATCTGTCGCAGCCCCGGATTTGGTTGGTGGGATTCCCACTGCAGATCGGGGCCCAGTGTCTGTGCTGCTGTTGGGGTGGGTGTCCATCCAGCTGCTTGGCAAAAACTTCACGTGGAAAAGAGAAAAAAACAGGGAAAATTCAACCATCTTCTGCCCAGTGCAACAGAAAGTGTCAAGGTGCAAAATAGGGTGTTTAAAGTGGGAGACCTGAACTCACAGGAGTTTGGAATCTCAGAAGCTGTAGGTAAAAGGACATCATACAACCTG